CGTGACATGTGGTTGTGGCTTCCTGTAGGGAGGGGGACTCTCCCTCCAAGCAATAACCACCTCCCTACCCGCCTTCCTGTCCTCCATGCCAGAAGTCGCCTCGAGCAAGGTTAGCGTTCTCTCTCTCTGTACTGCACTGTACTGTATTTTGTTTCATATTTTTGTGGTTTAAAAAAAAAATACATATGATTCAGAATGGATTAACCGTAATTACATTGAACCTTATGGGAAAATTTGATTCGGGACGCGACCAAAATCGGTTGGCGACCAAATTCGGAGGGGTCAGAACGGATTAACCGTATTTACATTGAACCTTATGGGAAAATTTGATTCGGGACGCGACCAAAATCGGTTGGCGACCAAATTCGGAGGGGTCAGAACGGATTAACCGTATTTACATTGAACCTTATGGGAAAATTTGATTCGGGACGCGACCAAAATCGGTTGGCGACCAAATTCGGAGGGGTCAGAACGGATTAACCGTATTTACATTGAACCTTATGGGAAAATTTGATTCGGGACGCGACCAAAATCGGTTGGCGACCAAATTCGGAGGGGTCAGAACGGATTAACCGTATTTACATTGAACCTTATGGGAAAATTTGATTCGGGTCGCGACCAATTCGGGTCGCGACCAGAGTCACAGAACGAATTAAGTTCGTGACCCGAGGTACCCCTGTAAGTATATTTCCTCAGATGCCTAGACAGTGCTTCTAAAGCCTTTTCATGTGCTAGAATATTACAACACCAATTATGCTGGTCTGCATAAGAGTACACATCCATGTTTAACTGACTTCTAGATTGATGCTAATACAATCACAAAATACAAAAGGTGACTACTGAAGATGGAGGGACTGGAAAGGAAGCATGAATGAATAGTCGTGAAGTTTTAAGCAGCAGGGTTAGTTTAGTTCTGTTTCTTGATTTCTTGAACTTTATATAGAGACTTAATTTTCTTACCAATGTTAAACTCCTTTGATGTATTTCTTTTTTAAAAAACTAAAGGTAAACATTTAGTTTTTAAAATTTCATTGTCAAATTTGTAAAATGTTTTGCATTCTGCAAGTAGAACAAGTTTCTTCTTTGAGAAGTTTCAGTTTTGTAGCATTCAGTGAAAAGACAATCTTCACAATGGCTACAATTTAAGGAAATGAATTACTCATCCTATTCACAGACACCTTAACAGGGTGGGTATCACAATTCTGGAAATCAGCTACATAGTGCAGCCATATGTGATCACAATTCAGAGGTGGGTTCTGCATTTCCTCTGGTACAAACAATGGTGTTATCAGAGATACAGCAGAATAAGTAGTAGCAATGGAAATTTTACTATTAACATGGAAGGACCTATTTGTGTCTTTTTTTGAGGGAAGGTGACTGACAACACTGTCCAGTGGTCAGAATGAATGTTTTTATTTAAGCGCGCCTTATTAAACAATATTGGGAAGGAGCAGAATTTACCGGAATTAGTCATGGAAGTATTTGGGGGGCAACTTTCTTTATTCTGTGATGTGTCATTGACTAAGCTCTCTTCCACTTCCATTTTATCATCATGAATGTTCTGTTCATCTGTAGCTCCTAAAGACTGTTCAATATGACGATAAGCTTGCTGCAAAGCTTCAATGTCGCTGTTTGTTTGCCCACTGGAAATACCTGAAAGGGGAAAAATTAAATAATTCCAGATGCAGTAGACTGAAAATAAATATTCATGAGGAACAAACCAGTAAAATAACAACATTAGTAACCTAGTGTTGTGACACAGGCAAAATTCCAGTGTCACACAGAGCCAAAGCTCAGTCAAGCAACAGGACTTTTAACCCCTTGCAGGCACTCAATTCTGCTCAGGATTTGCTCAGGCTCAGAGCAGATTTTACGAGTGAGCAAAGGGAAGGGGAAATGCCTCTGATTCTTTCCATTAGGAACTTCTGACAAAAGAAGTTCTGTCAGTGGCAACGGGCTACTGGACCCTTTAATTGCAATCCCATTTATATTTCTATTATAAAGCATGTTCCGCTGAGATTCAAATACAAGTATGTCTAGGGATGAGTTTCATCAAGTTCAACAGGTATTATTTCCAAATAAATACATTTAGGATTGAAATGTAATTGTGTCAGTCAGATTGTAACACCAGATCCTAACCCACTGGTAAGCACTGATATAAAAAAAACGTAGATTACATTTGCAGGCATTAACTAAAACTCAGTAGCTAGTAAGACCAAAGAACAGAAAAACAGCATTCCATGCTTTTTCTTTTGTTTTCCTTCATCTCAAAACTAGATTCAGCACATAGGGCTTGTCTATATGATCATGTGGAAAAAAAATTAAACAATGTTCAAGCTACAGTTACATAATTTAAGTTACTTTGATTTTAAATACTGGATTGTCGGCCACTGAAGTAAATGGGAACTCAAAGAGTTTTGCTTTGTTTGGATGGAATTCCACATACTTATGTGATCAAACAGTAATTTTAATGAACCGAATGGAATGAGACAGGTTGTTCCTGCTTCACATCAGTTTAGAGCATGATTAACAAAAGAAATAATTAGCAAATAGAAAGTAGACTTACCTGTTCTATTCATTTCTTCTGCTGTAACTCCTTGAGTTATATGATCTGCCACAGCTGCATCCTGCTGTTCAATGGCTTTTGGAGTTTCTAAAACTGAGTCCTGGGAATCTAGAAGAACTATAAAGGAAGAAGAATTGTATCCTTTCTATACTAGCCTAGGCAAAGAAATCTTGCGCTCTTCATTATACATAACCCGTAATCCCAGGGTGGGCGACATGCAGTAAAGTTTAATATAATATGTACAAATACTGAAAATTTTTAAAATAGGATACCTGAAGGTAATTATTGTGGCTAATACCAAACATATTTCAAAAATGGAAAAGGCATTAAATAAGAGAATGGAAAAGATAAAATGATGGAGGCCTCATAATAAATAATTCATGATCATAAACCATTTGTAACAAACTGTTAAGGTACAAACAATGGTTCTTGATTATGCAACAATAGGATCTAATCATGTCTAGGTTAGACTTGCTTGCACCAGAAGGCTGGGGAAAAGGCTGCAATATCACATACTCCTTTAAGTAAGCATGTATACAAAGGGACAGCACTTTTCCCCAGCTAGAAGTATAATGTTTGTCTTTGTAGAGAGACTGACGGTTGCTGTACTGCAGCTTGCCTCTAATATTAAAATAACTTACGACCATTTGTTTAATGACTGTTTGAAGTGATGATAGCGCTGAAAAAAGTGGCCTACAGCCAGTACTCGCACTTATGAATGTTGCACTGTTCCCATGATCACATGACCAAAATTCAGGTGCTTGGCAACCAGCATGTATTTATGATGGTTGCAGTATCCTGGGGTCACATGACTGCCATTTGTGACCTTCCCAGCCGGCTTCCAATAAGCAAAATTAATGAGGGAAGCCAGATTTGCTTAATGACCATGGGATTCGCTTAACAACCACAGTAATTTGCTTAATGACTGTGGAAAAAATGTAAAATTGGGTGCGGTCACCTGATGCCTCATTTAACAACTGCACCACTTAACAATGAATTTTCCAGGCCCTGTTGTGGTTGTAAGTTGAGGACTACCTGTATACAGCTTGAATATATACTCATCAATATAGTTCTATTATTTTAAAGTTTAAATTATTTTCAGAATTGAAAAATAAATGCTGATGGTAATTGTTCACTTGCATTACCATTTTAATCTTTGATTAATCTTTGAAAATGACTCCTAGATAAAGTCAGCCGTACAGCAGAAATCTGTAAAATCTTTCTTTTTCAATTATAGTGATTGGTATGGATATTGTTGAGATCAAGCTAATCCCTGTAATCTTTTCTAATAAAATTGGGGATTAATAATAAACACTGATTGCTTTCATTCCATGGGGAAGCCAGACCTACAATAAGCAGAATAAAAGGAAGGCTATTTACTTTTTCAGATATCTTCCAAATTCAAGAAGACCAAACTCATTTTATAGTATATCTTTTATATTATTTCAATTTGGTACCTTTAGCCAGCATGCCTGTCCTTTCCTCCTAGAAAGTAAAAGAACATATATAAATCTCATACATGTAAAAAAAAATTGTGGTTGTTAAATAGGAAACTTTCTTGAAGTAACTTACCATTTTACAACTGTAAAGTTTTGATGCACTATAAAACTAATATTTCACTTGCATAAAGTTTAAGAAACATCAAGTCAAAAGATATACACTACTGAAAATCATAGCTATAACTCTGAGTGCAGAAAATAAGCAAAATAAGTACTATTTTCCAAAAAAGTAAGTTAATATCCGAATAATATATGAAGAAAATAATATTTGAGCATATAATACACACACAGATTGTTCCAGTCACTGGGCCTTCCTCCTCCAAACTTTGTTCTGGACATAAGAATTCTAATGTATGCATTGATTTCCAATACCCAAATTATTTCTTGATTGATTTTGGTGAAGAGAATTGATTGATACATTCAGTGCTTTTAAACAAGCCAACCAGTCCTCTTTACTGAAAAGAATGCTTCATTTATGCTGGAAGCACGTTTACGTTAGAGTACACATGAAAATCCAAACCAGAGAAAATGTCTATGAATACATGAAAATTTAGACTGTAATTTTTTATGCTATATGGGTCTGTTACTAGACCTACTGGATTAGAATCCTATATATGCCCATTTGCTCTCTTTTTTAGAAGTTTCATTCATGAAGTTTATGTTATACATATTGATATTCCATTATTATATCATTCTAATATCAGAATCTTAATTCAGCTTTTATTAGATCAGGAACATATGCCTTTGTAAATAATATTCCCTGCTCTATCGTTATAGGATCTTGTGATTCCCAAATCTGTTTTAAAAATATATTAAAAACAGTATTCATGTCTCAAGAGAGCTATGTTTGGCATCAAGATCTTTAGTCATATTGCTATCGTTATTTGCTTTTGGCATTAATGCTGAACCCTTGTTGCTCTTTTAACTTTCTGATTGTTTTGCATTATAGTGGTAATCTATCTTTTTATGATTCCAGAAGTATAAACTGCCTGAAGAGTTCTGAACATAACTGAAGGCCAGCTATGAAATGTTATAAACAACACGTATCCCTAGGAGCAAAGCTAATAAATGCATTTAAATCTGATTGTATGTCACATTACTATCTTTGAACTGGGACACTGGGGATTTCAGTGCATGCAATCCCATGATTATTCCCCTGGATGTGTGTTCCACAGAACTTAGTGAACCTTATATTTCAAAAGTCAAGCTTTAGAGTGTACTGTAAGTAAGCCCACAGTTGGATAAAACATTAAAACCACAAAATTTAGAATGTTTAAAATAGAAAGTGATTATACTTATCACAAATGCTTACAGTAGCTTCAGACATCACCACCTGTTCAGTTTTGTTGTCTTCGCTACAGTCTGAATTTTCTTCAAAATCCTCACTATAATCACCTGTTTCGAGTAAAGTCTGTGGTTAGTTCTTCAAAAGAAATAGGAAGAAACAACACTATTTTCCTCCACAAAGATCTGTTTAACTCTTTTATTGGATCACATCAAACAGATGGGAAAATCTTGATATAAGTTACAGCCTAATGTTCTTCTGTCAGCAGATTAGCCAGCTATGTGCTTGTGTTTATCAACTGAATAATATTACAGAAGCAGGAGAAGAAACCTGCTCTGTTCCTCATGGAAAGAACTGGAATGGTGCAAGCAACCATTAAGACACAAATCGCTTCTATTTGAAATCGGCCTAGTTCTGCCTTAAAGTATAGATGCTGATACTGAAAAAAGCAAAACAACAACCCAAACCTCTTCTACAGTCACTGGTTGCATAAAGCCTTCACATTCTGTTGCAATGTAAGACTCCCTGGACAATGTTTTCGTATTTGTGTCAAGTAACTTTTGACTTAGGGGAGTTGCCTTTTAAACTAATGTAACATCTTGTGACTGCCTTCCATGAATCTGTATGCTGATATACTGAATTGACAACATACTTTGGAAATCAGTGCCGTGTCAGTAACCAGTCATTAAATGCTGGTTACAAAGCAAATGATTTGAAATTACCAGATTTTTCATGACTTTTACATTCACTGCCATTTTCTTCTTTTGTTTGTTTCATCTGAGGCTGGCCGCTGCAAAATACAAGAGTATTAGTAATGACAAAGTATTTTTCTCTTTACACTTGACTGAGGATATTTATTCTACTGCTCTGCTGTTCTAACAATAAGAGCATTGTTCTTTTCAAAAAAACCCACTATGTTACTGGCATATAATTTTCCTAAGCAAATAAAGGCAGGCAGGATGGGTGGAAGTAGTCTGTGAATATTCACATCCAAAGAAGATTTTAGTATCCAGAATCTATAATGTTTTTTTTAAAAGAAGGTATAACCAGCAATCTTGCTTTAGTTGTATTTATAGACACACACTTGAAAAATATTTGGCCTATTAATACCTCAATAATAAGAATTCCTTTGCTAATAAAGACTAAATCTCAGTCCAGTCCAGTATTCAATTACTTAACAATAGCCAACTATTGCATTGCTCCTAGATTGTATCTGCATTAATCCTAGATTGGACATAAGAAAAATACTATAAAAACAAAGATGGCCTCCGAACATTTTTTTTAAAACTTATTTATGTTTCTACTTATTTATGTTAACACTGAGTGGTAAACATTTTCATAAGTGAACAAAATCACAGATGGTCTGAAAGCAATCTTTCTAGTCTATGCGTAAATATTTGCTTGCTCCCAAATCCCAATCTCACTTTCCTGTTCTTATTACTTCTCTTATCCATATTTCTACTCTACAGCTTCCATCCTAATTTTCCATGCTGCAATGTAGTATGAATATTCATTTAGCACAATTTATTTTCACCACAAAGTTTCATTATTATAGTTCCAATCTACTACAATTCAATATATAATTACCATTGTTTATCTTTGTTTACTTTACCGTAAAAATGTGTGCAATATTTCAGAATTATTAGAGTCTAGCTCCTTATTTAATTTTGAATAGTCTATAGTAGAGGATGCTCCTTTTTCAAGGTCAGCAAAAAACTTCTCCTTTTCTTCTTCTTCTTCCAAAGTATCCAATCCATCTCCCAAAATATTCTCACTAGGTCCCAAAGCAACAACTGAATCTAAATGATAAAAGCATCAGAATACATATAACTATATGAGTTTATACCTTAGTACCATAACTGCCAAATGACATTCAGACAATGTTTTAAATAAGAAAATAAGAATATTAGCATATGGTTCTGTATTCCCATTTGTTTAAACAGAGGAAGTAAATCCAAGACTACAAAGGAATGTGTGGGCAGGCTGGTTCCCAGTGGGGAAAAAAGAAGAAAAAAGAAACATGCTTTGTTTTTGTATAGCAGGATAGTTTTGTGAGCTCATATGGTTTGAATGAACTATTGGACTGGGGCAATTAAGCTAGTAGAGAAACCTAAAGCCCATGTATTTTCTAGAGCTGAGTTGTAAAACACTCCTTGAATCAATCACAGTGCATTTTAAATTGTGGCACTAGTGTAAAAATAAACATATAACATTATTTTGAAGTGACCATTTCATTATTCAGAACTACGCAACATAAAATCCACTTTAAAAAAATCACTATACTTGCAATATGTTTGTTAGCAAATTATTAAAATATAGTATAGTAAAAGAGTAGTATAATGTCAGAAGCACTTCTATTACCATTTGATTCCAAACTATCTTTGCTTAAAGAGACAGAAACACCATGAAGCTGTGGGAGCTGAATGCCTTCTCCAAAATCTTCATCTACTTCCACAATAGAAGGAGAAAGCCTTCGTGACTTCAGAAAGCTACTGCTGGTGTCATGCATTCCTTAAAATAAAGGCAGGGGAAAGGGGAATGGGTATTGATAAAGCTATTCTAGAACACAGAAATGCATTGAATGATGGGTTCAAATATTCTGCCTACTTAAGATCTCAATTGTCAAAACAGATTACATTTTGCATTTGGTCTAAAAAGCTACCTGAGAATTGTGAAGTGAAAAGAAAAAGTAATACCCTCAATGTATGTTCTCCACAGAACACTTTGGATTTCTGGATGGCAATTAAAGTCATTACCACAATAAACTGGCAACCCCATTTTCCAGATTACTGCTAACAAAAGAACATCCAGTTCTCATTTGTTCCACTCTGCCAGCTCCCCCTTATCACTAATAATTAGATATTCCTAATCCTATTAACAAAAGATTGATACATTAACAACTGAAACAATTGATAATTTACAAAACAAAAATAAAAACCCAGATTCACAGTCCAGGACCTAGGATCTATTTATCTTACAAAAGTTACTTAATTGTATTTAAGGATAAGGATAAATCATGTCACTAAGCTGCAAAATACTTAATATTTAAATAGTTTCATAGTACAGATTTAACTACAATAGCAGAAAAATATGGAGATGTCTGATTAAAAATTTTAAGGTAGGATTATATATATTATTTTGAACTGAAAAGGAATTCAGCTGCACTATGGAGAGTATAAATCTTTAGCTGCTCAGTGAATCTTAAGTCTAGAAATGAATAAATAACATTTATAAATATAACTGGCCTATAATTTTGCTAAAGATCACACAGAATATTCACCAATAATATTTCAACAGAACTCAATAAATTTTGCAACAGAATGTCAGTGGTTCAGATGAAGAACCAACATCAGCTTTATATATTTATGTATTTATGTATTTATGTATTTATAGATTTATAGATTTATATATTACAAATGGCTTCTTTATAGGACTAGTTTAAAAAAATGCAGCCTTTATGATGTGGACTCTCACTTCATTGCTTGGCCAAAGAAATCAGATTTCTCATATTCTGGTCATTAGCTTCATTTGAATCACAGTAGGGTTGTTGTAATTCTTCAAAATGGTGCATCTAAAAATTAACTTTAAATCACACGGAAAGGTCTTTTAACTCTGAACATATGTACATGGCTTATGGTTCAAGACAATTTAACAGAATTAAATATATCACAGAAATACAGAAACTATCCACTTAATTCTTTACTGACTGGTGCTTAAGGCTTAAAAAAGGCAGCCGAGAAGTGAATGTTATTAAGTACTGCGACTCACAGTAGTTCAATAGATTTTCAGATAAAAATATTTTCAATTCTGCTTGGAGATGACATGGGCTAACTAAGGATCTTGTATATGCAAGATAGCATCATCATTTTAGCAAATTCACTCCTATTAAGATTATAATTGGCAACAGCACACTTACTTGATCAGAAAAACTAGTAACAAGGTAAAAGCATTAACTGAAATAAATTAATTTTGACTCACAACACATCACAGCTAACATCAAGCATGGCATCTATAAACAGGAAATTTAATCCAGTACCGGGCTCATTATCTGAAAACGATATCCTCTTTTCACAATCTTCAGCCATTGCACCTTTTCTCACAGTAAGTTTCTTCTTATTCCCTTGTTTGATAAACTTGCTTTTCTTTGGAACTTTGAAAATTCAAGGAAATAACAGAAAAGTTTGCAACAGTGAGCCCAAAGCAAAATCAAACCACAAAGAAGAAAAAAAGAAGTAAAGTACAGACAGTGTCAATTGCTAGACATGCCAAGTGTGAAAATCTGGGACTAGAAACAATTTTCATTTAAGAACAATAGCATCCAAGAGTACTATCATAATAATCTCATGTTCTTACTGACATATGAAAGAAATTCCTCAACAGTAGAAAACGGTGCTTAAACAGAGGGAGAGAAATTACTATGCACTAGCACGCATGTATGTGAATGGTCTGGCTTGTTTAATTTAGAGTTTCATTTTCAGTTAAATGCTGCAAATCTAACTTTTCTCAAATAATAATAAAATAACAAAAATAATAATTTCTGACTTCATTGTTTCATTTGACTGCATTTTTGGATGGTTTACTTTCTATTTGCTATAACTGTGGTAACTTCTCACCAGACATTTCAACAAAAACTAATTATTTTGAATTATGCACAGATTATATTTCACCTTTCTATTGTTAAAATTGCTGCAAGAAAAGTGCTATGCTTCTCATATAATGATAGTAAGAACATTTAGTTCTTCAGCAAAAAACCCCAGAAGCATTAATAAAAAAGGTTTTGATTCTCAGACTGTATGTTCCAAAAACCTTAATAACTATAATTGAATTAATGTAACATTGAAAATCTCAGTTTACAAATCAAATACTCATAACAATCCAAAATCTAAGATTATATAAATTTACACAGTGGGATTCAGGAACCTGGTGAGGGAAGTCCTGCTGCCACTGGCAGAAGTGTAATAATTTCTCCTTCCTCCTCTAGTTTCCCGTTCTCCCAAGATGTCTGGACTTATGGGGGAAAGGACATTTGGTGAAGATAATCTCTCTGCTTATGGTGGATCAGAGAGTCCTTCCATTTGCAGAGGAGCTAATTTAGATCTTGATTACTAAAAATAAGGCTAAACAACAGAGTTCGCTTTTATCATCTCATTGCTAAATATTTTTCTTGTACTGTTCATCAGAAAGAAGCATACTTCAAAGTATCTGTTTTGAAATTGTAGTTTAAGAGCTATAAATATTATACAGTAATGGATTTTTTTTTGCTTTATGTGTGTTTTATATTAAAAACAGGGCACTGAATTAGGAATTTTCACTGCAAACTTAACTCTTCACAAAACTGAAATACTGTACAGTTCATTAAGCTTTACTCTGCCAACTGAGAAATAAGTTTTGCAGATGTTATGAAAAACCAATAGTATAGTATCTACTATCTACCAAATTTCATCTAATAGTTATCTTTGTGATTGTATCATTTGATTTTCATCCATTCCAGAAAGTACACTGATCTTCACGTTGTTTCCCCCAACTAAATTTCATTAGAGGACAGGCTACATAATCAATGATTTGTCATTAAAGTTCAGTGTCAAATAAAAATCCAAAACTGTATTATTATAAGACAGTGCCATATGACAGATAACTTAAAGGAGATTTGTCAGATCCACCATCTGGGTACTAAGTTGGAAAGAGTATTCTAAGTGTTCTTGTGCAATGGGCTTTACGGTATGCTGGTTCATTTCTCAATGAATATATGAAACACATTAACAATATGATCCTTTGAATATTTACTTGGAATGGTATTTGGCCTCTAATATATATGATTAAGAATATAAGTTTGATCTCCAATATCTACTTCCACTGAAACGTATTTAAGTAAATATGGAGACAATGCCAGAGTGCTTTTAAGTGCTATAAAAGGAAGAATGAACTGATAGTTACTCATATATTCATGCAGCTTTTTTAAATGATTGGCAAAAAGAAAAAATATAAGTAGAATATAGCACAGAATACAAATACAGCTTTGGCTTAATCTACTCAACAAATACTTTTTAAGCTTCCAATTTCACTTGGATTATATGTCTAATTTAAGGGGACGCGGTGGCGCAGCGGCTTAATGACGCTGAAAGTTGCCGGCCAGAAATGGCTGAC